CGTCTTATGCTGATGTATCCAGTAGTTACATTGCTTTACCTGTATCTTTCTGAATTTCGTTTCTATTACTAAGCCATTTGTGTGTTATGTCTAAGAGCTGCAATAACTAACTGGGCAGAATATTCAAACCGAAAGCTTGATGAAGCATAAATCTTTCTTGAGACAAATTAAGGATTTATACTTAAAAGGTGAAATATAGTGATATTACTTTTGCTTAATTATAGAGTTATAGATCGAGAAGTAAGATTGCATAGATTTTAAGCCTCCAATAAGGTGTATATTTTGCTTCAATCTTAGCTCTCTCATCTTAAAAAATTTTTAAATGCTAAAATTGATTGAATCTTGCGAAAAGATAAGAAAAAACTTTTGATCTATCAATATAAGATCACAAAGGCCACCTGTTTACTTCAGTTCTCTATCAAATCCCAAAGTTTACAAGATCTGAGAAAAATGGAGTTCAAATTTTAATTCTAGATATGATTACTGAGATTTAATAGAATAAAAAAATGAAAATATCAATGGATAAGTTGGAGCAAAAAGAAGGGTTTATCAACGCACAGATAGATATTAAGATAGCACAGTTATACAATAGTTAAAGATGACAGACAAATTAAACAAAATGGAAATTTTAAGACGAATTTATAATTGAAAAAATTCATTTTTTTGTTCCAGGCTCCGGAAAGATTTATTCTTCATCATCTTCTTCTACTAACAAGCCTACTTGCTCAATCGATGATTTGACTTCAGCTGGATTATTCTTTTTTATCCGCTTTGGAGTAATACGGCTAGTGTTAGAGTATCCTGCCTTTGGCTTATGCAAAGCAGATGAAGTCACTGTTTGGGGTTTCTTTTTTCTATTCAACAAGTGATAGCCGGAGGCAATTCCATTGCGGAGCTCGAAAAACAGAAGAACAGCAAGTAAAGCCTGCAAGATGGCAAGTATCAGACAAACGCCACCTATTACACTGTAAATCACTACCTGGTGATCTGACAACACATGAAGCAAGCTAATAGCGGAGGCAAAAAGGCTGAGATAAATAAGCACAAGATTGATTAATAATGAAGTAATTATCAAGATTTGGAAACTGGTAAATAAACTGAATTGAGCCAGCAAAACCGCTATCAAGCTTGGCAGGCCAGACCAAATTCCAAGTCTCTCGGGCACTATGCTGGTCGTATTGGCAATGGCCTGTAGAATAAATAGGACGAAGATGATGCACATGATACCAATTGTGATCAAAATTTTGTTTAAAGGCCGCTGAAGTCGGCTCATTTGGCAAGAATTCAAGTCCCCCATAGACCTGACATTCTGATCCACTTGGGCAAGTTGAGCAGAAGGGGGCATGCGAAGAGTAAATTCCTGAAGTGGGCTTACCTCTAATAATCTCCTAGATTGTGCCAGAAACTTCGACTTAGTGCATCAACAATAAGCACTAGCCACAGGTATATTCATTTCTGGCATAGGCCGCAAATAGATTAATTTGAATACATGCACAAAAATGTAACGAATTATCGACAGACCAATTATGCTGAGCAAATGGTGATCGATGCAAAAGCATAATCCAAAAAATCGATTTTGTGAAGGTTACATAGTGCTTATATTATTAATAAAAGTGGATGAATTAGCTTCATCAGTAAATACTTACTAAAGTAGATAATATAAACTTATAGGAATTAGACTGATGATACTGGTTTGAACATATTTCAAGGTCATCAAGTCTTCGGCTTTCATAGAAGATTGTTAAAGCAGAAAATAAATCAACAGAAAATATAAATAATAAAGAGAAACAAAAGTATTAATATTAAGAGGTTAGCTTAGTAATGTTCAGGTTAGTTGAAGAATTCCTTACAAAATTGCATATTCCAATTAACTTGATGCAAGGGAAAAAAAGTTAACCATAATATAGAATTTAAGCCACTAAACTATTCTTCATTTATGTAGAAAACTGGCGTTCGAAGAATCCCTTACTAGATTGATATTGGAGAAACATATATCTCGTTAGAAGATACGAGTGGAAGGAATTCATAAGTTGGCCTCACGGGAAACCAAAGAAGGATTTCTTTTTAGCCGTGATTGCAGATTTGGGCGAATAAGTCCTCGGCGCACCACCCTTTGACTTCGATGAATCTGTGCTGAGCTTTTGTCCATCATATGACATTTTAGAGAGACCTTCATTTCGTATGATAGTGCATGAAGAACAGATTCGTTGGTCGATCTCACCAGATGAGGACGGATGAAACTCGTTGAACTGGAGCCGGTTGGATTGTATAGGATATTCATGTTTACGCAGTCCATGGGACATCCTCCCTCGTTTCAAGTGAAAACGTGCTGAGCTTTCGTCCATCATAGGATGTTCGTAAGTTAGTAGGGTTTCGGGACTACCAGTAAATCAGTTTTAATGAGATGTATTCACCCTATTTCGTGTAAGGTGATGAAGGACTGGTAG